TGAGCATTTTGTACACATTTGTACATGATCTCATTTAAATAGAAACATGCAGACTTCTCTAATGATCACAGCAAAAAAAGGAGGGATTTATATTTCTTTGATTAAATGTGAAATGATTGCAAATGACTTTTAACAGTATCTTTGGAATGAAATCAAATACTTCGCACCCAAATGCTAAAAATCTTTTTTTTAAAAAATGCACATAAGCTTTTTAATAGAGCCCTCCAAAGAGTGATCAGTTATTTATTAACATTTAAATTATTCAAGATGCTCTATTGCTGTTTATTTATTTAGTTATTTATTGTGTATGAGTATGTGTACAAGTGTGCACACACATGCTATAGCCCATGTGTGTGGAAGTCACCAGACAACTTTCGGCGTCAGTTCTTTCCTTTTGCCCTGTGGGTTGGTGGGGGCCAGGAATCAATTCAGATGGCCAAGCTTGGAGCAAGTGCATTTGACCACTGAGCTATTTCTCAGTCCTGAAATTCTTGATACTATGGAGTGATGGAATTTCCTGGTGATATTTCACACTCTGGTGCTTTAGTACAAAAAAATGGGGTGGGGTGATAATAGTGTTAGTTTTCCATTGTCGTGATAAAATACCTGAGAAAATCACTAAAAGGAAAAAAGATTTATTTAAGAGATTTCTTGCCACGGTCACTTGGTTGGGTGGTGTCTGAGTGTGTGGCCAGGCAGAACATCATGACAAGGACAGTTGTGAAGAGGACTGCTCACTTCCTGGCAGCTGAAAACAAAAAGAAAAAGACTGGGGATAAGACAAACCCTTCAAGGGCATGGCCCCAGAGACCAACTTCCTCTAACTAGGCCATGCCTCCTCCAGTTTCCACCACTTTTCAAAACTCCATTCAACTATGAATTCATCAATGAGTTAATCCATCAATGAGGTTAGATTCCCTCATGATTCTAATCACTTCTGAACATGGCTACACTGGGAACCAGGCTTTCAACACATGAATCATCAGGGGTCACTTTATATTCAAACAATAACATCGATAAAAATAACGCTGCTCATTTCTTGATCCTATCATTTATATGGAGAGAAAGCTCTCACTAAAAATGTTCTATATGTTCCATCAGATAGGGAAGACTGGGCGAAGGTCAGAGGGCAGTGAAATCTTAATAAAAATAGTCTGTTCTTTGAGTTGGTGAGCATTTTGTTGCTTGTGTGCATATCTGCACACAGAAGTGTGTATATTCATGTTTACATGGAGTTGGCCTGAAAACAAGTGTATTGAGAAAGAAAGCCTGCCTTACACCAAGGGCTGCTCACAAAGTCCCTCAGGCAACTTTTACCTTGTTTTCTGGTCTACTAGATTGCTGGGTCCCACGTTTAGGTGGGATGAGGCTTTGGAATGAATCTAGAGAGTGACTAAATGACTTCTTTGAGGAAAGGTGAAAAGATGAACTATTTTGCTACTAAAAGGAAAGAAAGATAGAGGCGACCCAGAAATGATCTTCAAAGGGATACACAAATTTGATGGCATGTTCTTGATCTTCACTGAGGATGCAATTCAAAATTTGGCTAAAATTAGAAAGGAATGATGCTTTACAGAAAGAATTTCCAAAGAATATTGATATTGCTGGAATGACTTTCCAAGTATGGCTGTGGAATTTTCTCCCAGGAGGTGTCCTCTAATGGGCTTCTTATGGATGGATCATTTATTTGTGACTTACATCTTGAAGAAGGACTTTAATGTTTGCTTTGTGCTTTTAGACATGTGAGAGAAAAATGAAGATGTACATGAGGCACAGATTTTGTACTCTAAGATTTTATAGTTATGGAGACAGATGTATGTGAATTATCTGGTGAAAGGTAACAGGAAGCAGGCACAGTGACCATGTGCACTGAGAAGTAAAGCACTCTTGGGTGCCACTGACATGAGCTATATATGGCAGAGTATTAAGTCCATCCTACTGGGATTTGAGAAGAAAATCTGATCAGGGTGGGATTAGTTTGTTCTCTTCTCTTTGTTAAGTCTGCTTTTATGAAGCCTTTTCTGAGACCTGGCCCCTGGTAACAGCCTCGTCGTGAGCCATGATCTGTTATATCTGGGTTCAGAGCTTAAACATACCATCTCCCTGCTATAGGCCCTTTGCACATGCTGAGCACCTGTGTAGGGGACTTTGCTATTCTCTTTGCCTAGTCCTTGAGCTATAAGAGACTAAATTTTTGTTTGCATTTTTGAGACACAATCTCCCTCTATAACCCAGGCCAGCCTCAAGCATATGGCCAGTCCTCCTGCCTTAGCTTAAGAATTTAGTCCTTACTTCCATTCCCAACCTCCCTGGTAAGATCAGTTTTCCTAGGTTCTTCTAGAGCAGAGTGCCTGGTGCTCATTTTTAATGGTACCACTCTATTACAATTCAACATGGACTTAGATTTCTCTGTTAATATCTATCCCCTCTTCTAGATGAATACCAGGAGAGCAAAGGAATATATGCATTTGATCTTTGAATCCTTAGCATTGAGCATAGCCTATTTTCAATGCATGTCCATTTGAATGAATGGAGAGGATAGATTGAGGATAAATTTGATAATGTCTTAGGTTTGAGATGCTGTTCCAACATTAAATGCTTTGTTGAAAGGGAGGAACTGCCTCCTTAACAAACCTCTTCCAGAATTAAAACACTGCACAGTGACCAGACAGTTCTGCTTCATGTGGTGTTATGTGGGCATAGGGATGGCTGGATGGTCCAAAATAGTCTCACACATGTGGTTGGCAGTTGGTGCCGGCTGCCGGCTGAGAACTTGATTGGAGCTTTTGGCAGGGGGTTCAGTTTTCTTCCACCTGGGCCTCTCATGGCTGCTTGAGCTTCTTTAGTAATATGGTGGCTGGAATCCAGGCAGGACCATCTCGAGGAGCAAAGACTGCAGCTGTACCTGTCATAGGCCTCAGTTTCAAAGGCACATAGCCTCACCTCTCTTGTATTCTGTAA